CTAGAAAATTGGACTTTAAAGGTTTGATGGGATGTGAGGATCTTATCCTAGTCCTCCAAAATTAAGCCTCAGCCTCCAAAATAAAACCTGGCCCATGCTGGGACCCAGCTTCTCATAAGGAGGCTTCCTATGCATACATAATGCTTAGTGCTTGGACTTTTGACACCAAACTTCCGGGGAGTTCAAACCCTGCCTCTATTACTTCCCATCTATGATTCTTATCCTCTCTCTGTCTTGCTTTTTTTAATCTGGAAATTGAGTATCATAATAATGGCATCTGCTTCATATGGGGTTGATATGACTAGAAAATGAATGTGTACCATCTAACACATTAGAAATAGGGCCACTACATAATGGAAAAACAAAGTAGGAATCTTGAGTGGGCCCCACCTTGAGCCTGCCCTGCCTTTAGAGTTCCAGTTAGATGGAATAATATGTGTCCTTCTTGCTCAAGTTGAGTTTTCTGTTACTTGCAGGCAAAAACATCCTAACTCATAAGAGGATTTTTTTTATTTCAGCATATTATGGGGGTACATATGTTTAGGTTACATATGTTGCCCTTGCCCCCCTCCCAAGTCCAAGCTTCAAGCGTGTCCATCCTCCGGATGGTGCACATCACACTCTTTGTGTATGCATATACCCATCCCCTCCTCCCCGTTCCTTGCTGCCCGACATCCAATAAATGTTATTCTTATATGTACACTTATGTGTTGATCAGTTAATACCAGTTTGATGGTGAGTACATGTGGGGCATGTTTTTCCATTCTTGGGATACCTCACTTCGAGGGATGGGCTCAAGCTCTATCAAGGATAACACAAGACGTGCTAGTTCACCATTGTTTTTTGCAGTTGAGTAGTACTCCATGGTATACACATACCACATTTTATTAATCCACTCATGTATTGATGGGCACTTGAGTTGTTTCCACATCTTTGCAATTGTGAATTCTGCTACTATAAACATTCGGGTGCAGGTGTCTTTTTTACAGAGTGTCTTTTGTATAAGTGGATTTTTTAAAGTACTGCTTGTGGTGGCCGGGCGTGGTGGCTCACGCCTGTAATCCTAGCACTCTGGGAGGCCGAGGCGGGTGGATTGCTCAAGGTCAAGTGTTCGAGAACAGCCCAAGCAAGAGCAAGACCCCGTCTCTACTAAAAATAGAAAGAAATTATTTGGACAACTAAAAATCTATATAGAAAAAATTAGCCGGGCATAGTGGCGCATGTCTGTAGTCCCAGCTACTTGGGAGGCTGAGGCAGTAGGATTGCTCTAGCCCAGGAGTTTGAGGTTGCTGTGAGCTAGGCTGACGCCATGGCACTCTACTCCAGGCAACACAGTGAGACTCTGTCTCAAAAAAAATAAATAAATAAATAAAGTACTGCTTGTTATCCCAGACTTGTTGTGAGAAATCAAGTAAGATAAAGGATGAGAAAGTGCTTTGTAAATGTCAAACACTCATGTTCTGCCTCCGAGTAGAAGGTCGAAGGTTGTAGGACCTTGTTAAGAGGTACATAGTTAAGAGCAGAGAGGCATGTAACATTCCTGTATCTTCTTTTCAGGATAAAATTACGAAAACTTCTAGATTCCATTTAATGTATATATATTTAGGGACATAATAACAAAATGATCTCCTGTATACACAGGATCTCCTGACAGAATTTTGAGCTTTATGGGTGCCATTATGCAAGGGCTGTCCGGAAAGTATCCAGCCATTGTTAAGAAAACAAGAACATATTATATGACTAGATACTTTCTGGACAGCCCTTATATATTCCTCAATATAATTCTACACTATACTGTATTATACGATGTTATACCATGTTGTACCATTCTATGATATTCTATGCTATTCTGTACTATACCATACCATACTACACTATATTACACTATACTATGCTTTACTATGCTTTAATACATTGTATTATAATACCCTCCTACTAAAGTGTCGTCTGAAGACGAGCAAAATCTATGTCACCTGGCAGCTTGTTAGAAATGCAGAACCCCATCCCTGATCTACTGAATCAGAATCTATATTTTAACAAGATTCCTAGGTGATTCAAGCACATGTTTAAGTTTGAGAGGCCCTGTCATGTTCTACTGTACTATACCAAAAGACAATGTAGTACAGTATTTAGTACACAGGCTCTAAAATCAGGCAGCCTCAAGTTCAGATCTCAACTCCACTGTTAAGTTGGGCCAAAGATCACAATTTTGCTGTGCCTTGGTTTCCTCATCTGTAAAACAGTATCTGTATCATAGGGTTCTATGAAGATTGAGTGTTTTAATATATGAAAGCCCTTGGAACACTTACTCCCTCCCCCTACACACACACAAAAGCACCATTTAAAGGTTAAAAGCTGTGCTGTAGAATCTCACCCCAGTGAGCAGGAGGTGGCGTCTTCCACAAAGACCTTCTTTTGGTCAATCACCCCCTGAAAGGCACATCTTGGGGAAAGGAGAGCAGAAAAGCAGACCCAGACTGTCAGGAGGAAGAACTACTGTCCCTGGGCCTTGTTGTTTTGGATAAAAACTTGAGGAGACAAAACGGGATTGAGGATGGCCTTGGCCGTATGGAAGCAGATTGGCAACAGAGTCGAGACCCCTGCACAGAGCCTCACAGAAAAGACAGGGTATTCTATCTCATAAGTGAGACTGTCTGATGTTATTCCCTGCTTCTATTAATATTTCCCTTTTGACATGCCCAAATCTTCAGTGAGTTATGTTTACACATTCCAGTCTGGTTTTGTGTGTGCTACAAGGAACAAAGGGAGGAGTTGTGAGGACTTTACAGACAAGAGTTCTAGAAGGTTCAGGGTTCCAGAAGCCAAAGTGGTGACAACCATGGGAAAGATTAACAGAATCCCCAGGAGGTCGGGAGTTCAGGCCCTACAGGGTGATGTCCCCCTCTCCTCCTTGCCCAGCTGGAAGGATCAGAGTTGTATTGTATTAAGAGAGCCAATAGAGTTCCCAACACCTACAATGGGCTTGTGGACCAAGTAACAAATTCTCTGTAACTCACCTTCAGGATTGCAGGCCTTATAAAGAATGTCCTTCTCCAGGTTCTCCAGGGACTCAAAATTTTGTTTATGGTACACTTTGTCCTGGTCATTAGCGATCTCGAAAAGCTGAGATTTTTTGGCTTCTCCCACCCCAATGGCAAAAATAATTATGTTTCTGTCCCTGAGGGCCTTGGCTGGTATGGCTACATTATCCTGGGAAAGCCCATCGGTGATCACAATCAAATATTGATGAACACTGGGTCTCCCTCCTCTTGAACTGTCAAAAAAAGGCAGAGTGAAATTCAGGGCTTTCCCGGTGTGGGTGCCGTCGTTCATCTGCTGAACCTTTGAGATGGCTCTGCAAATGTCCTTCCTTGAAGAGTATTGGTTGAGTCTGAATTCTTCCCGGGGGGTTGAGCTGAACTGCAAAAGGCCAATTCGAATTTTATCAGCACCAATATTAGATCGGTTCACCATTTTCTCCATGAATCCCTTCATCTTTTCAAATTCTTTTGGAGAGATGGATTCTGAACCATCTATCAAGAAGATAATGTCAGCTTCCTTACAGGCTAGGGGAAAAGGGAGCAGAACAGAACATTCATTAAGAGTCTGAAACCAATTAACTACAAGTCCCCAGGGACAGTCTGGGGTGGCATATACACAACCCACTTTAAATATTTTAAAAGGAAGTATAAGAGGAATTCAATGAAGCAAATAACAAATATTCTGCAACTCAGCACAGACCAGTCTCAAAATAAGTCACAGCTGTATGATAAATATATAAAATTTGACCATCTTTGTTCGCTAGGTCATGGTCACTTTGAACATGTCCAATACTCAGTTGCCAACCAGTGAATCCAGGCTTAAAGAACAAAGTTTATTCAAATAGATTAGACATATGTATTTGGGGGCAGGGGAAGGAGAGATTGAAGAAAAAAAATTCTTACTCTCTGAGCAGATCTGTTGTACCAACTCTTTTTGCGTATCCTTCAATAAATCAAACTCATGCACGAAAAAATACTTGTCTTTAGCTATTTCCTTAAGCTCCTTGGTGTTAGCATTTTTTACTCCAACAGCGTAAATGATGATTCCATTTCCCCTTAATCCTTCTGCAGCCTCAGCCACAGAGTCCGAAGATTCACCATCAGTGACGACGATGAGATATCGATTAACATTGATTCGGGCAGTGTCTGCAAAGACCTGAGTCATGTTTTTCAAGGCCTCCCCGGTTGTGGTGCCCCCTCCCCCCTGCTGGATGTCATCAATGGCTCCCTTCAGCTCTGCCACACTGGGATACTGGCTGAGGATAAATTTACTTTTAATTTGGTCTGAGTACTGAATGACTCCAAACCGTACTTTGTCAGGCCCGATCTGGAACATCTTTATCACCTCATTCATGAACATCTTCATTTCAAGAAAATCTTCTGGGCTGATACTGCCAGACCCATCAATAAGGAAGTAAATATCTGCAACATGCACACAACCTAGACGAGAAGCAGCAGCAACAACCCATTAGAACATAGTCTGAGATGGTGCATAGCCAAAGCTATTGATCCCGACCTCCACCCATATTCCCTCCCCCTCGTGACTCCTTTGACAGCACCTGTGGCTCTGCCTAAGGGTATTCTTTGGCCAGGAGCATGATCAGCCTACACTCTGAGCAGACTAGAATGCCTGAGAGTGAGTTTGGAAGCAGCCACCAACCAATAACTGGCAGGGGCTGACAGAGAAATACCCCAGCTCCCTTGCACTGTGTGTAGGTCAACTGTGAGGTGACTTCTTCACAGTTTCCAGAGGCCTCGGTTGCTGACAGCAATACCTGTAGGTTACCCCTCACCCTGTATGGGCTGTCTTCCCTTCCTACTCTTGAATCACCACTCCCCAACCAACATCCCCTGGGATCGCCACCCAGATAAATCATGTGCATCCAAACCCTTGTCTCAGAGTCTGTTTCTGATGAACTCACTTAAGACATGAAATAAATAGAACTTGACATTTCTCAAGTGGGAAGTTGAGAAGAGGCTAAAAGTAAAATCAGAGCATATTTGAAGCTATGAATTGTCTTGGCATCCATCATTCCTACCTCCTATCTAAATCATACTTTTTAAGTACATAGGCAAAAGAGGGTACTTTCTGAAATTTAATTTAATTAATTTAAATAATTTGATTTAAATTAATTCAAAACATTCTGTTTTAAATGAATCTTACTTAAATGAACCACTTTGTATTAAGACCTAGACTCCAGAGGTCAAAATGGCTCTGCAGTTAGATCCTGTCTCCACCACTTCCTCGCAGGCTTGGCCCCTTTCCATCTTGCTTTCCTAATCTGTCAAGCAAGGATCTTAACACCTACTCCATAGGCTTATCATGAGGATTAAGCAAGATCACGTAAACACAGCAGAGCTGAGCATTAAAAATGTAGGGTTAAGATTACCTGGTGCTTTATTTTTGTCATCTAGCAGATTCCTCAAAAGGAATGAAACATACTTTTCTCCTCACCCATTTTAAAAAGGGAAGCCCAGCCTTGTGTTATTAATCTCCAGACTCCCTTCACCCAGGAGAGAATAAAGAGCCTTTTCATTTTCCTGGCTGAAAGGGAAGTGGTCTGGGGTGGGAACTGAGTTCCCTTGCCCAGGCCCTCATTTAGGAGGACCTGGGTCCATGCAATATTTGGGGCATATTTACACACAAAAATAATTGTTCATCTGAATGAAATTCAAATTTAATTGGCTGTCCTATATTTCATCTGGAAATCCTACCCTAGAGGGGCATGCATTGGAAAGGAATGCAACTTAGAGCAATAGAGAGAGGAGTGATCTATCCCTATGGTAAGTGTTTTTTGAATCCTGGACAGTGGAGGGAAAATTATAACACAAAGGGCAAAAATTCGAACTTTGCTGGAACCTATTATCCACCGGTGACAGGTAGATGGCTGCCTGAGGTCAGAGAAAAGGACCACAGTGCAGGTAAAGGCATCTCTGCAGCCAGCCCCTACAGTAGTGACCCCAAAAAGACTCCACTACAACCCAGGGCCTTTGCATTGTCCAGAGGAGCTGAGGGCTCTGAACATTGCCTGGCACTGTACATTCCTGCCAGTCTTAGCATGTGGAGATATTGGGGTGAGGAAAAAGAGAAAGAGAATATTTCTTCCAGCCTGGATGCTACTGAGCATCCATATCTATTATACATAAAGTGCTTCACAGAGTGTCTGACACATATGTCCAATAAATGGTAGACATTATGCTCATTCTGCTCATCCAGGACAGAATTCAGGTAAAATCATCACAGCTTCCATTTACCTCTAAGCTGCCCCTATCCTCTAGACTTTGGGCTAATTTTCCTGATTCCAGGTTTCTTCCTAGCTGCTATGCAGTCTGAGAAAGAAATCACCTCTCAGCTCTTCATACTGCTTATGAGTTAGCTGGGCTCCTTTTTCTCCTTCTCTGCAGAATGTACTCAGGGGGTGTACAAGGAAATGAAATTTATATTTAATGATTTTGTTTCTCATTCCCAGAACAGAGAAAGGGACTAAAAATATGGGTTAAAGAGAAAGATGGGAATTTATTTAAATATTTCAAATTTCTAGACCTCAGAACAAGTAATCAAGAAATTACAAGATCATTTAGTGTTTGTTTAAAAAAAAAAAAAGTTTCGTGATTTTCCCCTGAAGATATAATCACAGCCTTGAATTTTAAGTCAGTTATGTACATTTCAACGATTCTAATTCAAATCGATGATACTAATTCGAATCTAAGAAATATTAGCATGGGTGTACAAAAATAGACAGACAAGTAGACAGACAGACAAAAATTGTCATAATAGCCAGTAAGTGGCAAATCTGAGATTTAAAATTCAGGCACTTTTTACACCAAAGTGCATATACTTAACTAGTATGTTTTTTCTAATTTTTTTTTAACTGCATGTACAGTAGGAACTCCTCTGCCCAGCCTCCACTTATGTGACTCACCAGAAAAATTGATGTTCTCTCTTCCCCCTGTAAAACATGACTGATGTTCCTACAAAACACTGAGTGCCTGAAGTACTGTTTTCCTCAGTGGAACAATAAACTTACCAAGTTGGAGGTGGGTTTGTCCACAGCCTGTGTATGGCAGTTTTGTTATCATAATTGCACTATTAATCAAATTGTGCAGATCAATAGGATGAGAATGTGAATAAAAGAGGTTTATTGCATCTGTGAAAACCAGGTTAACTGCTTAGACTTAATAAAGGCAAGTTGTTAAAAAAAAAACTGCTGGTATATTAGATAGCACTACAAAAGATTACATTTTTGAGATCATAAAAATCAATAAGGATTTCTGTACTTGAATTGTATCAAGAGTGGCTAAGTTCTCTTTCCACTTTAAAGAAACTGAAACTGGAAATTATAGATAATATACTATTGAATGGTTTAGAAAGAAAATACACAGAAAACCAAGCAGCAGGGCTCACACTCAAAGAAGCCTTGGCCCTACACCAAAAGATTGGCAAATTAATGTTCATTTATATGTATTAAGTAAAATTTTTAAAATTTCAACTACCTCTATATCTTTTTAAAAATGGTTTCCTGCTTTAAATGACTTAAGAGTTGATCGATCCACACTCAGTTCCCTAGGGCTTCTACCGTCAATACACACGTCTTCATCAGACTGCTAGAAGGGATGAGGGGAAGACAGGAGGAGGTGCGAGTGTTCACTTTTCATTTCAGATTCTTTCACATTGCTTATAATCGAGAAAAAACAAAGATTTTAGAAGTTTTAGATTTCTGTTTTTTAATGAATTGACTCCAAAAATCTTTTCTTTGTTGAGGGGTACGGAAGACGGGTATAGGGAGCAAGTAAAGACCTTTTAAAAATTTTTTTTTAAATAGATCACATCTGGAAAAGGCCCTCCTACCTTCCTGTGGGGCAGAAGGAACAAAAGCTGTTTTGCCCACAGTCTCAGGGCAGAGCTGGTCTGTGAGCATGCTCCCCACTACGGAGAGTTGCAAAAAGGACTCCAGGGTGATGGCATGCTTCCCAGGAGGATATGACGCTATCTTCTCCAGGTCCTGACTGTCTGCGGCATGCTGGGTGCCCACCGTGTAGATGGTGACCCCTGCCTTCCGGAGGCGAGAAGCGGGTCTGGACACATCATCTTGGGAGAAGCCTTCCGTGATGACCACAGCTATCTTCTGTACAGCGTGGTTGGACCGGCTGCCCTTCTCCTGAATGAAAACCTCCTTCCTTAGGAAATCTAAAGCAGCACCAGTCTTTGTCCTTCCTCTTCTTTCCCGGTAGGTTAATTTGTCTAAATGCGCCAAGATTGTGGCTGGATTCTGAAATGTATCCAGTGAAAATTCAAGACGTGGTTCCTCATTGTAAAAGACCAAGCCAATTCTCACGACATCAGGATGAGTGCTTAGAGAGCTGACAGTGCTCTTTAAGAAATTGACAACTTGCTGGAAATTGGCTTGCCTAACCCTGCTAAACTCTTCAATGAGGAACACTAAGTCAGCTGGGATAGCAGTTGGACATGCTGTAAACACACAAACAAAATCAAAAAGAAGAACTTAGCATGTGAACAGGATAAAAAGACAACATTCATATATAAAAGTTGTATTTTAATATATTTTATATACTACCATAATATATTCATGGTTATAAATTATAATTATATATTATGCTAACTTATATTTACACATTTTAGAATTTAGTAGAAGCCTTAATTTGACATCCTGATCAAAGAACGTCACAGGGTTCATACCCATTTCAAAATTTCTCACAAGGAAGGGTATTTTTATCACTTGCAAAATATGTAAATATATGATTATCCACAACATAGTGCTTTAAGACTGCTTTTCACTTTATTTAAGTCCATTAAAAGTGCCTGAATCTGGACTAGTTTTTTCCTCATTTTCTAGTTTCAAGAGACCCTGAAAATAAATATACCCTTTTATAGACTTGAAACTTACTTGATTTAATGCTTTTTCCTCTATCTTGGTAAAAGATGAAAATAACAAATCGTGGCTATTAATTTCTGCATGTTTCTCTGATAAATGTCGTGTCATTTTAACAGAGGCAACATGAAATGTTGCAAGTTCGTATGAAAAATCTTTGTCCAAATATTGGGCTATTTGGCTCTTTCTTTTTGCTATAAAGGAACCTTCCCTCCAACCTGCCTCAAATGAAGGAATGACATATAAACTCCCTGCCAAGAGGAATTCAGACACCTCCCTCCCTATTTGAGCAGTGCCTAACGTAGGGAAACCCTCTATGTCCACATACCAGCAAGGCCCAGATCTGCTTTGACATATGGAAAAAGAAATCTTCCTAGCAGAGGGCCAAAACCACACATGTAGAAGGCTGAAACCAGTGTGTAGACAACTGAATATTGTAAAACAACATTTAGGGGCAATAAAATAACATTTTGACTTTTCTTTGGTCTCTTGGTGTCCTGAAATTTCCTGTGGTCTTTTTTAATAAAGAATCAAAATTCAATCCTACATTTAAAAAGTGGGTGCCGTTCTTGATTTTGGCAAGTCTAAAGCACCTCTTCTAGAAACTCCAAACGGCTTGGACTTCCTCCTTCCTTCACCTTCTGGTACCAAGTGCTGTTATTCTCCTTTCAAGTTGTCTGCAGGATTCACCTTCTTTCCTCATTATCAGAGACACCCTTGGACTGGGCCCAGATATCCTCCCTGTGTGGCCAGATGATAGCTCAGCCCTGAAGTCTTTCTGAATCTAAGGTGCCATCTAGAATCCAGCCTGCCCACTGAAGGCTTCCTTAAAGACGACTTTGGTCATATCATTTTTCTTGACTAAAAGCCTTCAATTACTTCCAGTGCCTTTGGGACATAATTGGGGTCTATCCTACCAAATCCAATCTCATCTCTCATTACTTTTAAACCCTCCCCATGATATCAATTGTCTCAGCTTTTTCCCTTTCTTTCACATTCATCCAGACCGTTCCTACTTCCAAATCCTTACCAGGAGTGTGGACCTCTTACCAGGCTCTTCCCTTTGCTAGGAGTGCCCTCCTCCCTTCTCCCTATATATTAATATTAAAATAACACCCATTATTAAAGGACTGGTGCAATTGTCTTATCTCATATATGCTTGTATTTTCTGCCCATAAAATTGTAAGGACCCCAAGCTCTAGATGTTGACAGGTCTGGGCAGAGCTGTGACAACTCAGAGAAAGAAGAAATTGCTCACTTCTAGTTGTGAGGATCAAAGGATGCCTCACCAGGAGGGTAACTTAAGAACTGAGGGGCAAATTTTGACTGTGGGCATTCCAGGCTAATCGTGTATGTATCCAAGGGTGGAGACAGAAGTGGGAAAGCATGACATTTAGATAGCAGATGATGAGTAATTCAGCTTGGCTGGAGAATAGAATGTGTAAAAAGACTTAGCAGGAGGTAAGGCTCAGTGGTTCTTAGCCAACAGTGGCACCCATCTCCAGAGCACATTTTTGAAATATACGGAGGTGCTTTGGATTACCATAATGATTCGGGGATGCTACTGGCCAGGCACCAGGGATGTTAAACCACTGACAATGCCTAGGACAATCCTACACTATGAATTATCCTACCCAAAATGCCAGTAGCATCTCTCTTGAGTGTCTTAAATGCCAAGCTAAGGAAGGACTTTATTTAATCTCTGGAGAGAAGCCTGAGTCCCTTCTCCTGGAAAAGGTATATAGTAGTTCAGATTATTGTTCAGAAATATTCTCTCCTTACCCCTCATTTCTGTAGGAAGAATATACTTTTCCACCCTACCAATGTTGACATAGCCATATGTCTTGCTTTGGCCAGTGAAATGTTAGCAGATGATACAGCAGAGGTCCAAGAAGTGCTTGAGCTATTGGGTTTCTCTCTTGTACCTCTGCAATTACCATGGGAAGAATATGCCCAGATTAGCCTGATGACCCCAGGAGGAAGACGAGAGATATGTGGAGCAGAGCCAAACCTACATCAACCAACCCCCAGCCAAATCCCAAATCTGTGAATAAGCCCAGCCAGGATCAATTGTCCCTCAGTAGATCTGTGAGAATAAATGATTCATTTCAGCCACTGACTGTTCAGACAGTTTGTTATGCAGCATCACTGTGACCATAGGTAACTGACACACGGTATGTGCCTGAAGCATCCCATGCCTCCTCCTCTTCCCCATCCGCTGGTGCCAGAGCCCCAGGACTGAGGAATCCAGACGACCCCCTTCTCTGCCCTTTCCCCAGACTTTCCTCTTACGCTGAGATCTCCCAGTGGCCCACATACCCTAGGATGAAACCTTACCTTCTACAGGGTCCACGGCCTCAATCCTGAAGCCCGGCTCTGCCATCCTTTGCATTACCATATTCACATCCTGCATTACCTGTCTGACTCCACCTTCTCCCTGCATCTCGTATACAAGGTCTGGGGACCCCATCCCTTCCAGTTCTGTCCTGTCAAAGTCCTGCACACCCACAGAAATGACTCTCACGCCTTTCTTCCTCAGTCTCTGTGCAGCATCCCGGACCTCATCCTCAGATTTGCCCGAGGTAATGACCACCACATACTGAGGAATGCCCTGGAGAAACCGGCTTCCTGCTTCCTCCTGGAGGAAGGTCTGACGAAGGTATCGCAGAGCTTTGCCTGTCCTTCTGGAGCCACCCCGAGGCACAAAGTGCTCGTTGACGTGAACTATCATCTCATGCTGGGTCTTGTAGGTATTGAGCAAAAATTCAGTGTGACCTTGATCACCATACTGAGCCAGCCCAATCTGGTACTTGTCCCTGCCGACCTCCAGCATGCCAACCACTCTGGAGATGAAATTCCGCATCCCCTGGAAACTGGCCCATGATGTGCCCTGCGAGGTGTCAGCAAGAAAGACCACATCTGCATAGGTCTTGGTGAATTCTGGAAATAAACAGAGAAGGATGGGGCAGGAAAAGACACAGAGGGGAAAGTAAATCAAATCAAGCCCTCGTGACAACTGAATATAAGGATGGTTCTGTGGGGGCAACATGAGAAGGAGAAGCACTGTGTTTATACTACCTTATATATATTGTACCTTCCCCTCCTCTAAGTGGGATTCCATCACAAGCTCTCTCCCTCTGTAGCCTGCATCCCTTGTTGTCTGTTTTGTTAGACTAAAGTACCTTTCAATTATTCTTCTTCAACCAATGAAAGAGGCAAGAGAAGTTATCAATTACTGAGCAGTTACTTTGTGCTAGAGCTTTTTATACACTTTTTTCTGATTTAATCCTCCTTATCCATTCTACAAGACAAATGTTGTTATCTTCCTTGCACAGATGAGGAAACTGAAGTGAAGAAGTGAAGCCACTTGTCTGTGCTCACATAACTAGAAAGTGACAAAGGCAAGATTAAAAAACAGGGCTTCTGGCTTTCAAAACCCATGCCATTTCTTTTGAACAACGTGGTAAGATGTTCTTTCGCTTCTTTTCTACCCATGAGAAGCCTATCCAGCCTTCAGTCCCCAGCTCAGATATCCCTTCCTCCAGGAGGTCCCCCCAGGTTTTCCAGTGATGGTGGGCCTCCCTTCTCCTGATCTCCCACTACACCCAGTGTGTTCTGGCTCATACTGTAGTGAAGTGGCATGGTCAGAATGCTGGGTTTTAACACAGCTACTCACCTTTTATTTTATCCTCCACCGCTGAGCACAAAGTCTGAAGAATACTTCCCGAGAAATCCTGCAGGATGTTGAAGTTTTCAGTGTTAAAGAGAAACTGCTCAAATGGCTCACTGGCTATTTTTTGCAACTCCTGGACGTCCTGGACATTGACTCCTACCACATACACAACAACTCCATCTTCTTTCAACTGATCAGCTGCCTCCTGGACCTCATCACTTGACTCCCCATCTGTCACCAGGATAACTATCTGAGGAATTCTGTCCTTGGCCCGGCTGCCAGCTGCCTCAGTCAAATAGTTAGTCCTGATAAATTCCAGGGCGCTCCCCGTGTTTGTGCCTCCTGTGCGGTAGGGCAGATTCTGGATCTGCTCCAAGACCATGCTCTTCAGAGGGTATTGGTTCAGCTGAAAGGCTGGGTAGATATTGTCACTATACTGGGCGAGTCCCACTCGGACCTGGTCACTGCTGATGTCAAGCCCCAAGACAACGGAGTAAAGGAAGTTCTTAACCTTCTGAAAGTTCTGGGGTCCGATGCTGGTTGAGCTGTCCACTAGGAACACAATGTCCACCAGGGCTGCTTCTCTGCAAGCTATGAGAGAGAGGGTAAAAGGGATGGGGGTCACTGGATCTTCATCATGCAAAATGCTTAGAACCAATGGAGCGGGTTCAAACTGCTTAGAACCAATGGAGAAAAGAAAGCAATGGCAGGCAGCCTATACTCAGTGGTCCTCAGACACTACTCTCATCCAAATGACAGTGTGCTCAGAGAAGTGTCATCTTCCCATGCCTTTCCTTCCCTCCAGTCCATTGTCTTCCAAGGCTTCAGACATGTTCTACTGTTACTTCTGGCCTCGAAATCCACTTGGACAATCCCTTGAATTTTATTAAGAAGAAAAACACTTCTGTAAATTTAACAGCATGCTGAGAAAGGGGATGCCCTCTTCCCATACAGAATAAGCCATCAGCCTCCTACCTTTTGACAAAGAAATCTAATCTTTAGGAGTATGCTGGCACCCATGGGTCAGAAAGCTGTAGTAGCCCTGTGACCTATTTATTACTCACCTCTTTGAGATTTAATTTTCTTCTCTGCAGCACTGAAATCTTTATACCAACTCTCATACTCTCACAGGGTTGTTTTGAGGATAAAGTAAGACAATCTACCATAACAGAAAACATCAGTGCTCTGCCTGGGTCCTTTTGCATTTCTTTTTACCATTTCTGTGCACTGCTCTTTGGAAGACTTCCCTCTAGCTACTGGAGCTGCTTTGTTCACAACATGTAAAAGCCCAGATCCCAACTTGACCTAGATTCAGAGTGAAGACAACTCTGAGGCATAATGTACACTCTTGAGTTCCCCTGCAGTATCAGGCTAAAGCCCTTTGTAGAGCTTTTGCCTGAGATCACGCCCTTCCTTACTTTTCTCTACCCTGTCCTGCATAACACACATCCTTACTGACTCCTACCCCCACTGGGAGCTCTTCCTTAGCAAATCATGTGTATCCATAGCCTTGTCTCAGGCTCTGCTTCTGGGGAGCACAACCTAACACACCTGCTCTCCGGGAATTGGACTGCTTTAAAAGATCTGGGATCAAGTTCCTAGCTCTGTCATCCACTTGTGTTACCTTTGGCCTCAGTTTTCTCATCTGAGTAATGCAAATAATAATACTAATTACCCTATGTATCTAACAAAGTTGAGATGATGGATCAGGTGAGCAATGTAAACAAGTTTTTAAAACTATATGGCACCGCATAGTGATAGTTGTTATTACTGTGTATGTAAAACCTCTTTGTAAACCTTGATGTGCTACAGGAAAGTAAGGTATACAATATTTATTTGTCCACACAAGTGCAATATTACCACCACACCCTGCTGCATCAATGGGTCAAAAGTTTTAGCACTTCCTCCAGTTCACCTACCCTATGTAGAAACACCAAAATAATGAACAAATCACAAAGGCTCTATCCTCTTGTGAGTTTTGATGGACCCCACAAGCATTCTTCTCTTTCTCTGCTCAAAGTTGTATGCTTTATTATGGAGTTTGGTGATTCATTTATAAAGAATTTTTACCAGTTTATGTCCTATCACCAATAGAAGCACAGAGTTGATGACAGACAAATCATCATCACAGGTAATGACAGGTAATAACAGGTAATGCTATGGGCGCCTCTGGCTGGCTAGGCGCTGTACCAAGCTCTTTACTTGCACAATTTTGTCCAACGCTTTCAACAACTCTCTGAGACAGGAATTGTTAAGCCACGAAGAAAATTTAAATTCAGAGAGGTAAAGTGACTTGCCTAAGATGACATAGAAAGTGGAAAACTGGGATTTGAACCCAGATCTTTCTTTCCCCTAAATTTATCCCCTCATCCAGTACATTATACCGACATACTGGCAATAAAATAAGCAACCTTCCTGGGGGATCTACTGCCTGTTTCCCCTCTCTCCTGGAAATATGGGTAAGTTAATCTAGGAACAATAATATCATTCTAGGAACAAATAAATTTTCATTTAAAAGTGGACATATAAGGCCAGGCGTGGTGGCTCACGCCTGTAATCCTAGCACTCTGAGAGGCCGAGGCAGGCGGATTGTTTGAGCTCAGGAGTTCGAAACCAGCCTGAGCAAGAGCGAGACCCCGTCCTCTACTAAAAATAGAAAGAAATTAATTGGACAACTAAAAATATATAGAAAAAATTAGCTGGGCATGGTGGCGCATGCCTGTAGTCCCAGCTACCCGGGAGGCTGAGGCAGGAGGATCGCTTGAGCCCAGGAGTTTGAGGTTGCTGTGAGCTAGGCTGACGCCATGGCACTCTAGCCCAGGCAACACAGTGAGACTCTGTCTCAAAAAAAAAAAAAAAATGGACTTATACTATATTAGTATATAGAACCAGCATAAGGCCCACAGGATTTACACAAAGAGCTGGTAAGTCTTTGGTCAGCGATTGGAGAGGAGCATAGAGTACAGACGCTTTAGTGAAATTTTAATTTTAAATTAAACATGCACACATGGAAAATAAAAAGAATGGTGGGAGGAATGAATAAGAGATAAACCTTTGAGTTTTATGACTTCCAGATTAGAAATAAAAAGGGAAAAGCCTTTGTACCTGGAGAGATGTGGTCAACAGGTTGAGCTGCCTTTGCCAAAGTAGCACAGAGCTCATGCCGCAGCTTCTGGGCGAGACTGCCCAGTCCAGAGAAGTTGGGAATAAAGAAGGTGAAATTCTCCTGGGGACTACTGGCAATCTCCCTGAGCTCTGCCCAAACTGCATCTCTGATACCAACAGCATAAAGCAGGATGCCTGCCCTCCTTAATGCCTTGGCAGGTCCACGGACATGGTCCTCAGCTGGGCCACTGCTGATCACCATGGCAACCTGAGGCACCCCTTGGCTTGCCCGGCTCCCTGCTGCTTCCTGGAAGTAATGATCTAGAATGAACTGCAGGGCTAGACCCATCTTCTTGCTCCCAGGCTTAAATTGAAACTGCCGAATGTGCCTCAACACGTTGCCTTTGCGGTGGTAGGTGGAGAGCAGGAACTCTGAATGAGGCACGTCACTGTACTGGGCCAGACCCACATGGATGGTCTCTCTGCTGACATTGAAGCTGTTCACTAGGATGTACAAGAAGTTCTTCACACTGTGGGCGTCTTGGGGGCTGATGCTGGAGTCCACTAGAAAGACGACATCTCCCACAGAGGCCTCCCTGCAGACTGGGAAAGAGAGTCACTTTAAGATAAAACATTACAAAACTGAAAGCTCCTGGCTGGAATTCCATTTCTCCCAACACAGTGCCTTTACACCCCACAGACCTGCCTGCACAGCTCTCCGACGGTAGCACGCAGCCCAGGCACACCATCAGCTTCCTTTGCCTCCTTATGGCCACCCTCTACCTTTGCTCACCTGCTGCCCTCTGTTGCATTCCAACAGACATTTGAGCCCTCAGTTACACCCTCACCCTGGCTCTTCACTCAACCCTTGTGCTGAATGAAAGAACTCAGCTTTCTACAGCAGTGAGTGCTGTTGGTACCCACCTAGACCTGGCCAGCACACCTGTCTCCTAGACACTTCAAGTGCTTTAGCTTACTGCTCACATCTGTGACTGTCTCCAGAAACCTGAGCTTGGCTGAAGGGAGTGGCCTCACGTGGAGACACATGGGAAGTTATACCACCACCGCCACCCTGGGTGGCCACTGTCTGATCAACATGGAGATACAAACACCTGGCCCGCTTGCCTTCAGCGAAACAACTCCACGGTGCTATTTATGCTCCATCACCTCTCATGACTCAGGCCAAGGCTTGACTTTACCTATGGCCACATTCCTACTTGGCTTCTTCCCTGACTCTATCCCACTTCTCTTATTCTCTTACAGATTTGTCCTAGAAAGCACTTTCTCAAAATAACGCACCCAAATCCCTGTCCCCAAGTCTGCTTCCAGGGAACCTTACCTAAGACATCAGTCTTCCAGCTTTAACCTCTGCACTCCCTGGCCACCACCAGCCTCCTTTAGTTTGGTGCCTGACATTCCCATGGTGTGGTTCATATCTGTCCTTTGGCTCCCTGAACTCAAACTGCTGTGCAGCTGCTTCTCCCCAACCCCAGCTACAATCCCAGGAACTAGCATCTCAACAGTGGCCAGGCCCACTGGTACCCCATCTGGGCCCATCCTGGCCTCCAGCATAGAAGGGAGCAGACACCAAGTGGCTGCAGGACTTGAGCAAATCTCTAATCCTTCTGTTTCTCAGATTGTGTCACTCCAGACTAAGGGATTGATCACATGACCTGGTCTCATTCAACTCAAACTTTGCTTTTCTGTGACAAGAAGCACAATGTGGACTAAGCACAGTGCACGTGTGAACAGAAAGAAGAAGAGGTAATTATGATTGATCTATTTCTCTGCAACCTCCATGATTTCTGCCCCTACCTCACCCATACTTCCCAATTTGATTATCTGTGATGGTGGGAAGAGAACATAAATTAGCGATGAGAAGACAAACAAAAGTAGAAACCAGCTAAAAAATGGTTTTAGTTTAAAGTAGCAGAAAAGCCAAAGGATGATAATCCCACATTTGTTAAACATGTCTTGCACTTTGTTTTGTGCTAAGAGGGTTAAAATACTGACCTGCACTGACCCTGCTCTATCCTGAAGCCCCACCTTTCTGCCCTCTCCATCTGCGCTGGTCCTGCTCTGTCCCTGTAGCCGCGTCCTCCTGCCCTCTCTACCTGCTCTCTGTTCCAGGCTTCCTCGTCCAGTGTCTCCAACTTCCCACGCTCCCACTTACCACTGGACTTAACATGCCCCTCTTCCTTCCAAGTTTCTCTTTCTTTCTTCTTCTTTTTTTTTTTTTTTCGGTAAATTTCCATAGAATCATGTTCTTTTATCTTGGTTTGTAATGTAACATTCATTAGTGTTCTATTTAATTAATGGCAATTTCCCCAACTAGACTCCAAGCTCCATGAGAACAGATAATCATATCTTTTGTTTGCTCACCACAGGAGTATCTAGCAGAGAGCAGACATCCAAAATATATTTGAGGAAGGAAGAAATAGAGGAAGGGAAGGAGGGAGGGAGGGGACAGCACTTACAGAGATGGAAATCTTGAACATTAATGAAAACAAGAGAATCAAAATTTTAGTGTTGGAAATAACACTATGAGACTGTGCAATGCAATATTATAGTTACTGAGCACTGAAATGTAGCAAGTATGACTGAGAAACTGAACTTTACATTTTACTGGATTCTAATTTAGATAGTCACATGTGGCTAGCAGCCACTGTATTGGACAGCACAAGTATAGAATAAGGAATCCGATTCAGACATCTCACAGAGAAGGAAAATAAGACCTAGAAAGGCAGAGTAACTCATAAATTCATTCAAAGAGCCAGAATTCACTCAGGAGTGAGGTCTCCTGATATCCAGTTCGTGCCCTGAACTACCATAGAGATTAAATTTAAAATCCATGTACAGAAAGCAAAGACAAAGTAAGAGTTTAAACAGAGAGGGCTAGGGGGAGTTGGTATAATCCAGGGACACTAAATCCATTTGTCACTTCTGGAGTCCTGAGTCCCTCCTTTCAAAAGTTTGCTTAACCTTGGTCGTAAAGCCAAGTGAGCCTGAGCATGGAAAAGGCAGACAGTAAGTGGACGTCAGCTCCTTTCAGCTTTACTTGCCTTTGGCCTCCCAGATGCAATCCTTTTGGGAGGAGAGAATTCAGTGACTATTCCAGGGATGGCTCACTGGTCTGTCCCCTTAACATCTGTTTCAGGAGTGATCAAATGCAAGTCTTGAAATGTTTCCCTGCTCTTTCCAATCAGAAGAAACCTCACAGCTGTAGAATATTTCTGAGGCAAGTAAGTTTGTGTTCCTTCACGTGTAACTTGAGAGATGTATTACATTTTCATACATTGTCACTTTATTAACCCCTCCACCTGTTCTTTGTAGTTTTAGAAGATGTTGGAAACATGAAAAGGCTGTCACAGCTTTTGTTCACAGTGAGGGGAGCCAGAGCCAAAAGGAAAATTGAGAGAGTTGCATGTTTTATCCCAACAAATGACAGTCTGTGTAATTATATTTGAATATTAAAACCTCACTATTGTCTCAGTGAGGCTTCAGGCTACTCAATCTTCTCTTGATGAGACTTTCATCTCGAAAAGTCCCAAGAATCTATTAAAATAACTTCAAAAAATTGCAGAGGTGTCACTGGCATTCTGTGAAACTATGCATCTTGCGATGATAATTACCCTTCAGAACAGCTCTGCTAAAGAGAAAAGACAGAATGGATAACAGGCTCTTGTTTACAAAAGCATTTGAGAGCCTGATAACACATTCAGGAGTATGGTACTTTTTAATGTCTATTTTTTTGTCATTTGGGGTTAAGCATTGAAAAGAAAATCAAATGTTCACCATTCACTAAAAGTTTCCAGATTCTGCCTAAATTCTCCTTCAAGGAATCAGTTCCCTTTTGTTAATTATGAAGCTCCGATAATATTTTCTTTCAAGATTGTCACTACCATCAGGTTCCTGGCAAGGTAATTGTTTTTGGCTTAAAGAATCCCATGCATTACCAATCCTCTGTGACTCGATGAAGCCAAAACTAGCTGCAAGGAAGACGATCCCCCAAAACATCTTCCAAGTCTCCATTCTAGATGTGTACCTAGAGAGAAAAAGAGACCTTGTAATTTAAAAATATGCCTTTTTTAAATGGGCACATCACATTATATTTAATTATATCTCAACAAAATAGATTTTCAAAGAAAACGCAACTATGTCTTTCCCCAGATCAATAGAAGCTTTATGAAAATAAAGAGGGAAATATTGCCACATGGCTTCAATTGTGCAAGGAAAATGGTCTTGCTGACCCAACTAAGGAAGAATTTTGTAAACACTCAGTGTATACCTCATACTTCACTATTTAAAGTTGTCCAGATGTGGCTGTAAAAGGAGAAAGCATGCAGGGCATGGGGTAGAACTTCTGTTTTACACATTTGGTGGATCATAAACATTTCCAGATGAGTTTGCTTGTATTTTTATACAAGAGTTCGATGACCCGATAAACACTTGTGGCATAGAAAAATATTCAAATATCTCAGGACCACATCTGCCTGATAAAATCAGCCTGGCTTGAAAATATTTTACATGCTCCCAAAAAGAGCAGAACATCAGACTTCCCTCCCCAAAACTTGATTCCGTTTCTAAGGGTGTCCATAAAAATTATCTACTCTCAATTCCATTTCTGCTTTTTGACTCTAAGGAAGTCCATTTGTTCAAAAATAAGAACAACATAGTAATCCCATTGAATGAGAGGTTCCAAGTGGAGCAGAGAACACTTCTTCCAACCAATCTCACAGCATCCTCAGCAGAGTGTAGTGAAATCAAACGCAGGGACTCTTGGAGATAGACTACCTGGGTTAGAATCCCAGATCTACTACTTAATAGTGGATCTTAGGCAAATTGCTTCACTTCTCTGTGCCTCAGTTTCCCCATTTGTGAAACAGGGGCAATAATAGCACTTGTCTCATAGTGTTATCAGGATTAAGAGAATTCATTATTTTAAAACATTTTTTACCTGTGCATATAGAGAGTACCCTTTAGGTGTTTGTTAAACAAATAAACCTTGGTGATCCAATAGGTGAAAGTTGAAAAGAATTTCCCCTAATTTGAAACTCAGAGTCAGCAGTTCTTTTATTTTGTGTAATTTAATTTATATTATTTGATTTAATTCATTCACCTGATTTAATTTTCACTTTCAATTGATTGCTGCTTTGTAAGTTATTCTGCTATTATCGCCATGTTTCTCACCCCAAAACTGAGAGAGGCCAGCAGAGTAGGTCTTATTCTGCTCATTTGGTTGACTCAAATGGAGGAATTGGGTTCAAGAAAGTTTAAGTAGCCTACCAGGGCTACACAGCCATGCTCCATCAGCCCTGTGCCCCGGGGACCTGACTCCAGGCCCAGCGCCTCACTGGACCTAAAGCACCTGCTTCAAACTCTTCAATAAAAATCTTCAAGTCCAGACTGTCACTCAACTCCTGAGTCTACTTTATGTCAAATGAAGACCTGAGAGAAATTTACCCTTGGGTAAAAAATGTGAGCTCAAGGCCTAAGTGCCTTTATCCACCAGTTAGGTCTTCAAAGAGCACCATTTGTGTGCAGAACACTCTATTAGGTGCTGCAGAGAACGGAATTATAAACTTTGCCTTTGTGCTTAGATAAGTGAATATTGTATTTGTGGAGAGAAATTTTACATACCAGAAACAATAACAAATTTAGTAAACCTAAAGCACATTCTCTAAACAAATCAGAGTTTAAGCAAGAATCTCTACAATGCCTAAATCGCTTTCCAGTCTTGCACCTTTAAATAGAATATTGAGTGGAAGCAATCATCACAATGCCCAGAAATGGCAGATACCTAACAACTGAGTTTCTCTTTCCAAAAAATGTTAAATATACCATCCCACTTCCCTAAGGATACATCTCTACTGTTCATGCTCAATTTACTCCTTAAGAGGGATCCAAAGATGTTAGACAAATAAATCTAGTTTATTAGTTATACCAATAGAAAATACAGGGCGAAGTCTTGACTTCAAAGGAAGCCCATTGGCCGTCATTATGATTTCAGCTTGGCCATCTGCTCTGCAGACTTGAGCAAGCCATTCTACCTTTAAGGCTTTATGTGATGACTCTAGAGCAGTGGTCCCCAATCTTTTTGGCACCAGGGACTGGTTTCGTGGAAGATAATTTTTCCACGGATGCAGGGGGGGAGGTGAAGGGACATAGTTTGGGGATGATTCAAGCGCATTACATTTATTGTGCAATCAAACCTCTCTGCTAATGATAATCTGTATTTGCAGCCGCTCCCCAGTGCTAGTATCACTGCCTCAGCTCCACCTCAAATCATCAGGCATTAGATTCTCAAAAGGGAGCCACAACCTAGATCCCTCACATGAGCAGTTTACTGTAGGGTTCGTGTTCCTATGAGAATCTAATGCCACTGCTGATCCGACAGGAGGTGGAGCTCAGGCAGTGGTGCAAGCAAATGTGGAGTGGCTGTAAATACAGACGAAGCTTCACTCACTTGTCCGCCACTCACCCTCTGTTGTGCAGCCCAGTTCCTAAAAGGCCACAGACCAGTGCCAGTCCACGGCCTAGGGTCGAGGACTGCAGCTCCAGAGGGCTTAGTACTGATTTCAGACACCTACAATATTGACCACTACATTACAAACATTCCTCAGGAGATTGGTCCAGTGTTTTTCCATTAAATAGATGTGATGTAATACAATTTCTCTGTTCCTCAGTTTCTACATCAACCTCCACTACTGCCTCCTCCAGAAGGCATATAAGTAATTCAAGAAAAGATACTTTAAGACTTTAAATATCTTATCCACCAGTAAACTTTCACCCAATGGTAAATAAATGAATGCATGTATCTTAAAGAATAGATTGTTCTAGTTGATTAAAGACTATATGAAAGTAAAGAGTTCGAGAGCTAGCTTGAAAGTGTCAAAAATGATCTAAAATAAATTCACATATCATCATCACCATTATTATTATTGCAATAAAATATTACACTACAATTTTTGAAATTTTGGGAGTAAAGTTAGATGAAATATAAAACTTTTAAGTATGGTATTTACATACCCCATTATGTCCTAATTGTTACTATTCATGCAACTAGTCATGAAATATAGGTATTTTTAGCTAATTGTAAATAAAGCACTAGAGCTCTTTATGGAAATATAGCAGGAAATTCAAAAGTTTATATAAACATTTTGCATCTGTGCATGTGTGTGTTATATCAATGAAGAGTTAAATGTCTGTAGATTAAGGACATAGTAGCTATATGATATATACTATTTTGTCAAGATGTTTGTATCTGATTTAAGCTGCTGAAGGGGTTTTACATTTGAACACATGGGACTCACTGTGGAGGCAAGAAATAAAGTCATTAAATGAAATGTAAGTAGGTAGGGATACATAGAATATTGATTCTTTCTGTAAATAGCTCTAATAGTTTTGGGGTAGAAAGAGATTTCTCTTGAAGTATATTGCTCAAATAGTTAACTAACCAGAACAATCTATTTTTTAAGATTCATTTATTCAATTAAATTGATTCGGGAAGAATCATCAAGGGTTGCTAAAGCTATCAGGTAAAAAAGTTTTTTGGGGAGCAGGTTATTAACACGGTTTCAAAATAGCTCCTTAAAAATGACTTATAAATTACAAAGAGCAAAAATGTACCTTCACAATGGAGAAGCTTGATGGACGTGAGTTAACAAAGTGATCAATCATATCAGTAGTAATAGAATAACCAACCAACATCACATACCTCCTAATGTTATGTGTGAGAAAACTCAACATCATTTATATAGTATTTCTCCCCAAAATCCATGACCTAAATCTAATAGTGAGAAAACAATCATATAAACCAAGCCTTGTGGACAGTCTAAAAAAAACAACTGGCCTGTGCTCCTCAAAAATATTAATGTCATGAAAGCTAAAGGACTGACTCAAATTAAAGAAGTCCAAAGAGACATGACAAATAAAGGCAATTCATGATCATAGATTGGGAAAAAAAGTGCCATAAAGAAAATTAAGTGAGACAATAGGTAAATTTTTAATATAGACTGAATATTATACAATGATGCTATACCAATATTAATTTTCCTGACTTTGATCATTGAGTTGTAGTCACATAAGAGAATGTCCTTCTTATTAAGAAATACACACTGATGCATTATGGGGCAAATGTTCAGCAAAATTACAATAATTCATAGACAGAGGAATAAAGCATTGCAATACTCCTACAACTTTTTTATAGAGTGTTTACTGTTTGCCAGACAAACTGACACAAACAATGCTGCTTAAGCTACGGAGGCTGGACTTGGAAACTGTCTGTCATCCACCGTATTCACCAGAACTTGCACCAACTGACTACCACTTCTTCCAGGCTTTGGACCACTTCTTGCAGGGAAAAATATTCAATTCTCAACAAGCTGTGGAAAAGGCCTTTCATGATTTCATTGCCACTCACTCTCCAGGCTTCTTCACTGCTGGCATAAGCAAGCTACTGTTAAGATGGCAAAACGTGTCAATAGTTTAGGCACATGCTTTGATTAATTATACTGCTCCTTGTTTGAGATATAATAAACTAAACTTTTGATTTGAAATTGGCATTTCATATTTAATGACCTATTATTAAATCAGCAGTGCTTTATTTACCAGTTGGACTCCTCAATTATAAAATGAAAAGATTCCATCTGTAATATTCTATGCCAGTGGCTCTTAAGCATTGCATCAGAATCACTCAGAATACTTGTTAAAACCCAGTTTGCTGGACCCCACTTCCAGGTTTCTGATTGAGTAAGTATGGGGTGAGGCCTGAGAATTTGCCTGATGAGCTGGCCTAAAGGACCACAATTTGAAAACCATTCTTCTGTGCATTTAGTATGCAATGACGGCTCCTGCTCACGCAGGTGTCTGCTCCACCTGCCACCTGCCTTCAACAGCGTCTCTAATTCCACATGGAGAAAATTGAGTGTCTATTATCAAGTAAGTGAGGAAAGGGAAGAGATTATCAATTTTAAAATGTTTATATACACATGACTGAGGTAAACATGTTTCAAAATACTTGGATGAAATACCCAA